AAACATTTTTCTCCTTAGTCGGCTTTCACTCTCCCACTCATTAAATTACTCTGACCCGCAAATATAGAGAAAACAAAAATATGCATCATCAAAAACAAATCTACATAATGTGTATAGATAGATAGATAGATAGAGAGAGAGAGAGAGAGAGAGAAATACTTCCAGCACAACGCCAGGGCATTTAGTTTTTTATTAAAAAAAAAAAAGGGTTTTCTTTAAATTAAAAAGGTTTGAGATTTGAGTTTCTATGCTTGCTTTTTTTTCTTTTTTTTTTTTTAAGTTGAGAGAGAGAGAGAGTACCTCTTCAAGTTGGTCGAAGTTTGTTGACCCAGCGGAGGCGGCAGGACTTGCCGGTGCGGCGCAAGAGGCCTTTGGATCGGATGGAGCTCCAGTCTCTTGGCCCGTATTTCTTCACGTGGTTTATCAGAACCTCGTCTTCCTCTGCCATCCATGGCCCCTTCTTTATCATCTCCTTCTTCTCTATCTCCCCCACCTCGCCATTGTTACACTCATCATGCACCTGAAGACGACGACGACGTTGACATGATGATGATCGCTCATTATCTCTCTTTTCTGCTTCCATTCACTAACGCTCATCCTTCTTTCGAATTTCAACTGTCACTTCTCATTTCACTTCGTCAATTTCCCTCCCCTATGTGCAGTGGCGGTGGAGACGGTTTCTTCCACGACCCCCACTCAGTTGAAGTTCTTTATATAGCATGCCCATTTTTTTTCGCTTTGTTCAAATTAGTGCTTCAAATTACAAAAGTGACCCGGTAATGTTTCTTTTTTCTTTTTTTTTGTACGATCCTCGGATTTGTAGCATTTTCCTCTGGCCCCCTGCAATTTTGACATTTTACAAATTTTTCTTTTTATTTGATGGATTTGGTTTGTTATTAGGGATGTTCAAAACTGAACCGGACTGCTTGAACTAAACTAAATCGATCACAAATCAAACCAAACCAAAAGGAATCAGTTTAATTCAGTTATAAGATCCCATGAATCGATCAGTTCAGTTCAATTTCGATTTTGTCTCAAAATAAAACCGAATCGAACCGAACTAATTCTATTTATTAATATATATATTATATAAATATTATATATATATTTATATTTGTATTTATATATATTTATATTTATATTAAATTTTTTTATAAATTAAAAAATTGAAAAACTAAACATGTTAACCGAAATCAGTTTGATTGGGTTCAATTTAAAAAAAAAAAAAACCGATCATATTCCATAAAAACCAAATCGAACCGTGAACACCCCTATTTGTTACAAATCTTAAAAAGAAATCCCTTCCTAAAAATTCCCTCCCCTTCCCTTGCCAAATTCACATCCTCCTCGTTATTTCAAGGTGGAATTGTATCCTAACGATTGCAAAATTACAGGTCCTCCATGATATGGTAGGTACGGACATGAATTGTGTAACTATCCCATCACAAGTTCAGATGTACCAAATATATTTGGGGCCAGGTACCTCGTACTTCATACTCTATAAAATTGGGTCAATTTTTATTTTTATGCAATTGCGTCCATAATTAATTAATTAATTTTCTATATCATAAGCAAATACCTGGGATAATATTGACAACATTCATGCCACTTCAACAAACAATTCTAATACTCAAACCTGTAGTATCCAAACAAATAATAATTTACCATACTATACCATAACCAAAATCATCAAGAAGCAACCGGGTTTTCCAAACTCTTGCTTTGTCTACCTTCTACATCATCTAGTGCATTTAGCTGCCCCTGAACCCAAACGGAAAGAGAAACAGCATGATCCCGAATCAAAGAATCATGCGGTGGACAATGCAACAAATCAATCAAAACCTGATTGTACTGAAACATACTGGTAGAAGGCAATCCCAGCCCTTTATCACGGCAAAGCTTTACTGTCTTGATCACATGCTCACAGAGGTTGCCCATCTCCGCCCACCTGCAATCGCATATGGCAAACTCTGAAGCCGGGTTCAACAGCACATGAATCTTGTCCCGATCTTCCTGGTCAATGACTTTTGCGGAATTCCCATTTAGGACGACGTCCAAGTCTGGAATTTTTAAAGACTTGCGCCATGAGGTTAGGCCACTCATCCACTCATTCTTCCAGTACCGGGCAAAATCATCTTTTTCCGAGTACTCATCAAGCCAGAAGTAGGAGTGAACTTTAGTGCCCAACTTGTCCACCAACCAGTCAGCACGTTGGTAAATGCGAGGGGTTTTCTCATTTAGTACTCTCAGCTTCATCTGGTTGTGATAGAATTCCATTGCTGTAGAGGTCTCTTGGCTTGAAAGAGGAAGAGTTCTGAGGGCAGTTATCCAAGCACCTGAGTCAGAAAGAATTATAAGAATCTCACGTGAAATCTTTGTTAAAAAACAAAAAGTAATGTAATAACAGTGATGTACTGTATCATCTAGCTTTTCGGGATCATGCTTTCCGCTTTAAACTGAAAAGGTTTAGCTTATGGGCCTTTTGAATTTAAAAGCCAAAAGCATGAGCCTAAAACCCAGGCAATGCATAACTATAAACCTACAAAAATGTACTTGAGCTGACCCTTAAATTTAGTATTCATAACAAAACTCGGCTAATCTCATCCCAACTATAAAGTGATATCTCCATTCAGCTTTATCATAGTTAAGAGTTCTAATTTTCATAATTAATCTCATATCCCAAAAAGAAAAGGACCAATTAATTTCAACAAGCTCAGAATATGGTCCAGTCTGCAAGATATGTTTTATTTTCTATGTCTCGGGTTTTGAAACCCAACAAACCAATGGTTCACTAATTCAGCAATCCCAGTGATAGTGATGCATTCTTGATAAGTTCAGGATAAGTAATCAAAACATCACTAAATTCATTGAACTATGAAAATAAAGATCCCTTGTTCTTGAAAAGGCAGGTGCAGTACCTATTCTAGGATACCAGACTGCCTTAAAATAGTCCACAAAATCTGATGCATCAATGAAGTCTTCCATCAAATTCTCAAATAAATCCATGGATCCCTGTCCCCTGCAGATGTTGTGAAAAGCCTGACCAAGCTGCCTAGATATCACAGCACGCATCTCAACTGTTGAACATCTCTTCATTAAGTTTTTATGCCATGCATGACGAACACGCCAAAAAGATACTAATACAGAACATTGAAATATTTCCCTGAATAAAAAAGCAGAGAGAATGGTTTAGCTCCATATTATAATTAGTTCACAGCACTTAGGCAATCTTAGTAGAGGACCTTATAATTTGAGTCAGTCCTGTTAATTATGGACATAATAATGAAGATAGTTGCAACTGCAATGTTGTTAGGACTGCTGACCTAAGACACATATCAACTGAAAACAGAATTAACGTATTGAGTATCCCAGTTAGAAGAAAAACATTGCAGCCAACCTGATTGTGAGGGTGTCAGCCAAAGGATCATCCACTATGAAACCAGCCAACTTCCATGAAGGATCTTTTGTATGAACTCTGTTATAAAGAGCCCTCATCCATCTATGGGGATCTGGAAAAGCAAGCCTTGGTGCTATTATCCAAGCTACTGGAATGGCCTTGTTGTGCGAGTTGAACACAACAAGACTGTGAATAGGGTACTGTATAAAAAAATTAAGAAAATTAAATAAATAAATAACACAGAGTAGGCAACTAAAGTATTTACATTAAAGCAACAGGCAAATACACACTACATAAATAAAACCAAGGTCATATCCTAGAACTTTGCCACACAGGGCTCAAAGCTTTCCACTAAAAAGACACATGCTAAAACATTATTGCTGATTGGGATTGTCTACAAATAAATATTATTATAATTATTAAATCAATAAATAAAGGGATTAGATAGTTGGAGTCTTTTCAATCTCACACACAAGTTATTGATAGAAGATAACAGTGGGTTATCAATCTGAATATTTATTTGGTTAAGTGTTAATATTGTAGTTTATAATTTAGAAAAAACAAAAATTAAATATTATTATTTTTCAAAGAATGAACTAAGCACGTGCAAGTCCCTGGTATGGATGTTACATCATTAAAAGAAATAGAGCATGTGGAATGCAAAAACGGACCTTCAATTTATTTGTTCCAAATCTTGAATCAGAAGCCACAAGGCCTCGGTTACCAAATCGTATCATTTGTTGCAACTGCCATTCTGTTTGAATACCCAAGACAAAAGGATCAGAATCAGAGAAATCTTCATAGAAGAAAACATGATTCTGGTGGCTTTCAACCCACATGCTGATACTGACTGCGTCATCCACATCCAATTCAAACGTAGAACGCCTGATACTCCTCTCCAGTCTCCGCACATATCTGTGAGTTAAAAGGTCATCACGGTTACATGGCCCCCTTGTCTTTCCACTGATTCATTGTGTCTCTGCATTATGGTTTCCACAGGAACCCCAACATACAACAGTGATAAGACACGGAGGCGGAGATCCTCTGAGATGTATGGAGCATACATAGCACGAGTTCCCACAGCCTTCTTGTCCTGCGGGCCATGGCAAGGCAACCCTTTCTTATCCACATGTTTGTCCTGATTATATATTATAAGAGCAACTGATGGTTCGGCAATTAAGCGTTTCACTATAAAGTGGCAGGTGCATCCTCTCTTTGTGTTTGGCCGTCCAGCAGATTTCTTTTTTGGAATGTAAGTATTCCGGCTGGGCCGAACAATGCCACCTTTTCGGTGATCATCAGGGCCAAATGAACACCAGTACCTACAGAACCAGCAGGATTCTCTCATGTGATCTAAAAGAACACAGGAGCTCTAACTAGTATTATGGAGGCTGTAAAAACAAAAATAAAACGTGAGAATGACTTACAGGATATATTCAAGAATGCCATCCACCTTTGGTTTGTAAGGTGCCTCTGGAGGCCGACGTCTTCTTGCTTCAACATGAAACCTTGTCGGGCAGTCCTTATTGGAGGATTCACCACGCACAAAGTCATCCACTCTGGCAAAGGGAATCAAAGCGACTCTGTCTATATTGTCACGCCAACCTTCCACCTTTGTCCATACAAGATCACCAGAAGAGAACTCTAACATCGGAGGGTTCTGTACAGGAAGTGACAGAATCTCATCCCATCTAGCCATCTACAAAGATACATCATCAAGCAGACATAATTTACTCAAATATGTTTATTTTGCATAGCATCACACTACTCGTTAGGTGGGATCATATAGCATCCCCTGATAGCAAAGGGTATACAGGCAATCCAAATTTTTCAACACCCATAGAGCATCAATCAACCACAAGGCATCAAGAACTCATATTAAAAGAAATCGACGACTAAAAATTTTAGACAATATAAACTCAGCATGGCAATTTTTCACTAGCTTTGCCGTTATATATCCTGAACTTGCTGACAAAATCTGTTGCTCTACACCAAAAAAATATTCAGAAACACAGCAACAAAATGTTCGCAATAACAAACTAAATCCAAAACACCACAAAGTTCAGGGCTCCACTCTCTCCAAGCTTCAATAGTTATTTTTTGCATAAACTAGTGGTGATCACCATCACTGTTCTTCTGGAGGTCAAATTAGAAACCTAAAGAAATTATAGTTTAACTGAGAAAATAAAAGAAAATAATAGAAATGTGGATGTTTTATCACCATCTTTTCTGGATAATAAGTATAAACATGTGGCAGTGCAAACTAAACTAAGACTCGAAATATTAATCATAGAATGTAAACAAATGCATCACTCTCACTCTCTCCAAGCTTCAATGGCTGCCAGTACAGTATTTTAACGGGGCACAAAAAGCAATGAAATGATTACTTAGGTAGGAAACAAAAGAAAATAAAAGAAACGATCAGGTATTTTCATCATGTGCTTCAGATGACAAAAGGAAAAAATATTAAAACACAACAGCGAAGCCAATGGAAGAAAGGGGAGTGATTCTCACTATTCTTATCTGGTAAAACTAGTTAAGAAGAAATGAAAGTGTTCCTCATCAATTTAACAACTAAAGTAGTTTTATGCCCATTGGTGAGAAGTAGCAACAGAATGAGATTGAACCACCCATCAATACATGCAACGCATTTTTTGTGGAAAAACCAACCTAGCAGTCTCATACTTTCTTGTATGCCAGTTCTATGATATGCAGTCAATCCCCCCCCCCCCCCCGGCGCACCTTTCCTTTTTTAGGTCTGCATTATTTGCTTGACGAAACTCCCGACCAAAACTGCAAAGCAAGAGAGACGTTACAACACTTCCAATAAGACCAAAAGATTCAACCAATTGTACCCATGAGCTTCAGCACCTCATACGGGAATGAGAATGAAGAAGCTGCAATCCCATTTTTGTAACTCACTTTTCCCGTACAAAATGCACAAAAACAAACCAGGAAGTTGCATCTACCAACGATGTACACTTTATAAAAACAACTAATCAATAATTTTTTCCACCGTCAATAGTTTCCATTGAAATCATACCACACTAGAGAATTAGCCATGGAATTTCCATAATTCAAATGAGATTACACCGAGAATCACTAGCAAAACGGAAATAGCTACTTCCAAAGGTAACAATAACAGGAATATTATGAAGCCATTAAAAAAAGAACAGATTTCAGAAACCGAACCTTTTTCAGAGAATTGAAAACTTATTGTCAGTGACACGCCCCCACCTCCATTCAAACTCACCCCGTCCGTCTTGCCAACTCGGTCTTACTCACCAGTTTCTATGGCCAATTTCAGAAATTATTATAATAAGATATAGAGGGAGCAAGAGAGATACAACTGACTAACTCACTACAGAATTTGCGACCGCCTTTGTGTTTCATGCAATTACAATTAGAATTACAATCATTATGCCATTAGTGTCACGTGCATAAGGTTAATATTGAACTCAAAAATATAATGAAGAATGAAGAGTTAAGGTCATCAAGAAATCTCACATCGATCAAAACAGCTTTCAAGCTCCGTTGAAAATTATTCCAATCTTGCAGCAGCTATCTCAAGAAACGGCGTCGGCGACGATCAGTTGTGCACAAATTTGCAGGGAAGTGGCAAAAGAGGTAGAGAGCCGATAGGGAGACGGGTGGTGGGAGACGGGCCGTGGGCGTTAAAGCCAATATCTCGTGCGGTGAGGGAGCCGGCGGCTGGGGTTTATGGGGATCCTTGAGCGCATAAAAGGGTTAAATCTGATTTTAGTCCCTAAACTTGTCCAAAATGAGAGGTGTCATACCTCTACTTAAAAATTATACAATCAAGTCCCTAAGTTACGTGGTCCTTCCACAAGTTTTTAGGCACATTGTCAACTTGCCTATAAAAGAGGATGTCGCCAGAGCAAGCGATGGTCGTTGACTTCCTGGAGATGTCGTTCGCATTCGACAACGACCATAGCGGCATTCAACGATGGCAATTTTAGAGATGTGCTTTACGGCGACGCAGAGAGCCGCTCAGATAGTTGACGCCTATCTCGGCAGAGCAGGGGAGGGATAGAGAGAGTGATTAGGGAGGTCGTTAACGGGCAAAAGAGGGGGGGAGGCCATCGTCGGGCAGAGCAGCAGGCGGCGCGGTGGGCCGTCGCCGGACAGGGGGGGCTGGAGTTTTTATTTTAGGTATTTTTTTTCTTTCAAGTTAGTTTTGATTTATTTAAAACCATCCAAGCAAATTAACGGTTGGTTAACGGTGTGTATTGACGGAGAGAACAATGCCGTGGAAATGATACCCTGGCTCCGGAGTAAATATTTTAATACATGTCATTTTAATAATATATAATATGTTATTAATATTATTATTAAAAATACATATTAATATTAACATATTATTTTATTACTTAATAGTAAAATAATATCAGTGCATATTTTTATATTTTAATAATTAATTTAGCATATATTTTTATCAACATAATGACAATAGTGATGTAATTGAATGCCCATAACTTATGAAAAAATCTATTATAACGATTTTTTTAACTTTATATAAATAAAAACTTGAACGTATTTTTTATCAATTTAGAAATTTTTTTAAATATTTAATAAATTAAATATATATTTATATAAGTTTACCATTGATACAAAATAGATAAAACAAAGTTTGTACACCTTATAAAAATATTAATAATTTAAAATTAAAAAACTTATTTAAATTTAGGGCGGTTAATGAATCAAATTCAGGCTGGATTATGGTAGAACTAGATCTGAATCAAATAACAATATATTATATATAAATTTGACATGAAATCTTGTAAGATATGTACTTAATACTACCATATTCGAATTTAAATAAAATCTGATATTTAATTCAAAGATCCAAATTTGAATTGTTAATTATTATACATTAATTATTTTATATTTTAAAAAAATAATTTAAAATTAAAATAAAAAATTCTTTAAAAAATGAACTAATAATAATTTTAAAATTTAAAATTATAATATAATTACATTTGATCTATCATAAATATTGCATTTGAGAACGGTTAACTGATAATATATAACAATTATATTTAATTTATCAATATACATATTTTGTATTTTTATCTTATAGAAAAATAAAAATATTTTTTAATTATAATTTTAAGAAATATAATTTTTTAATTAAAATATGATAAACCACGTTTATATTGTTATATATATAATTTTATATCATATTGTATATTACATATATTATTTATATATAATATACATATATATATATTTAATTTCAAATTTCTTTATATTGTTATATATATAATTTTATATCATATTGTATATTACATATATTATTTATATATAATATACATATATATATTTAATTTCAAATTTTTAATCGATCGAATCAAATAAAATTCATATTCACTTTATTTATTTTAAATTACAAATGTTTATAATTAAATCATATTTAAAAAATCTTTTATCAATTAAAAATTTCTAAATAATCAAATCAAATTAAAATTAAAATTCTCCCTTAATAGTCTATTTAAATTTATGAATGAAAAGATTTGAATAATATTAAACTCGCTTAATATTAAAATATTGAATATATGTATTTGTTTGAATACGTCTGTAACTGAACATACCCTCATTTAAATTGATATAGGATCCCAATATAAATGGAACATCTTTTTCGATAAGAAATACAAATAATTGGAAATATTTAATCTAACAAATATATATTTTCCAGCCTTCTAAATTTCAAAAGGATAAACTCCGAGGAAATCAAGGTAAATGAGAGGAAATTTAAATAGTTCCTCTTGATTCATGTCATATTACAAGCATTTAGAGAAAAACATGGGAAGTAGAAGCAAACTCAATATTCCTTATCTACTAGTGTGCAGGTAAAAACAAGAGACATGGAAGGACACAGAGAAAAATCTTAAGCTTGCTTTATTCTTCATTTAGTATATCAAATCAATCCTCCTGCATCAATCAAGACTCTGAATGCCTTCTCATATCCATTATCTCTTCCACCAGTGAGAAAACAGTTCGTAAGAATGTGAAGGGCAAAGAGAGCGCATCTTATTGCTTCTTCAAACTTGGACTATGAACAGGAAGGTTGCAGTCGACTTCAAGTCAGTCTAGTAAAACTCAAGATCTCTCTGTATTCAAAATTTTGGAGGCTATCAACTTCCATAATCTTAAAATAAAATCTACTTGTCCTCCGTCCTCGGAGGAATCCCTAGCCCAGTCCTTATACTGGTCCCCACTTGCTTGATATCTTCCACCTAAACAATATGCACGGGGCCCACGAGTAAACTCCGGGGAAATGCAATCCGTATAAACATTTTATGAAAAAACAGACAAGAAGACAAGACTATAAATTAAAGGAGATAGAAACACACGTTCTTGATATAAAGTAATAAAGACCCTTGTAACTGATATCTAAGATGCCCAATCACAAACAACCAGAAGGTAAAAAGAGAAGGCGCTATTTAAGAGAGCCGACATTAAGCCTGCGCCCAAAGCACATAAAAGAGTATCCTAAAAAATGTCTCCAGAAATATTGTAGAACTTATGGGTCGTTGGTTGACAACCAAATTGGTATACAGCCGGCATTCAAGTGAACCAAAAAAATGAATTTAGCATTCCATGTTCCACTACTTGAGCTTCCATGCTCCCTACCTTCATTAGGAACAGATATATTGATCAAAGTGAAATTTGCTTCTGTATTTTATTTCAAGGCTGAAGTTCGCTATTACAAGAACCGCTTGTATTAAAGTTGAAAGTGTACTTAAAAATGTTTATAAAAATATTCTAAGACTTTCCCAAGTAATTAGTATCCAAGTATCTTGAAGGCATTAAAATTTGACCTGCCACAATGATTTCAAAGTCAATCATACCCAATATGCTTTTACACTCCCCTAATAATGAAATAGACATAGGTCAGAGTGTTCCAAGTCTCTTTTAGTCAGCATTAGCAATCACAATGCCTCATCAAAGTGTTGCACGCTATGACAGTTTCTCATCAAACAAGAATCCAAAGTTCAAAATAATTTTGGACCTCACTTTCTTCGCTTATGCATTACTTCCATTTAAAAGTTAAAGATGCACTTTTTACTTCAGATGCTAAAATAATAATTCATAACCCATAAATAAAAGCAGCAATCTTTTTTCATTAAATCAATAAAGAGTACATACACAAAGTATTTTGTACCAACACTGGCTAAAATAACATCGAAATAAGTGGTTATGTAAAGTCTATATCATCAAGTATATTAAATGTATCAAACCATTATCAAACCTGAGTTAAAAACAATCATATTAATAAGATCTCAGGGCTATATTAAACAGCTCCAACAACCAAGTACTTTGCTTTATCAAAGACATTTTGGGGGGGGGGGGGGGGGGGGGGGGGGGGGGGGGGGCTGAGGAAAAAGAACATTAACTTAAAAAAAAAAAAAAAAGGCGTATGGATGAAAGGTTGCACCAGGTAACTAAGATGATATTATACTATTCAAAGATTATACAACGCCTAAAATGTATTTAACACTTTTTTTAAACCAAAGTAAAATATAAAGAGTTTTGTTCTAACATACAAGATAATGTCATTGGGAGGCCAAATTAATCACTCAATCCAGTGGTGATCACTTTGATATCTAACATCTTGCAACAAGTATATCACATGTATAAAGACAGAAAGTAGCATGATGCTTATAAATTTGTGACAATGAAAATTAGAATAGAAGTTATGAATAAACTGGTAAGGAAACTAGACACCCTAAAACCATGTCACACTAATGGGACAAGTGTGTGAAACAGGGTCATGTAGGATCAAAAGACTCCAATCACAACACCCCAGCTTTGCTGACTAGGCTTGGTTGAGTGCAATAAATTATTGGACTCAATTGAATCGGTTCATACTATTGCACTTATTAAAGCATTTAGAATTGCATGCATGTGTCACGGGGACAATCCCACACCAGATAAGGAAATGGAGGGTCTTGAGTTTATAAGTGTGGACACTGCACACCATACTAGGTTAACCTTTCAGAGAGAGTGTAATGACTCATGACAAGTAGTACCAGAGCTCACCCGGCCCCGACTCTGATGTCTCACCAAGCGCTCAAGGTAGGGTAGGCAAGGGGCCCCATCTGTGAAGAGGGCGTCACAGAATTGGTTGAGGGACAATGTCACGGGAACAATCCCACATCGGATAAGAAAATGGAGGGTCTGGGGCTAATAAGCATTGGCACTACACACCCTACTAGGTTAACCTTTTGGGGAGAGGGTAATGGCCCGTGACACATGCATAACGACTGGTACTTGCATATTGGCTTCCAGTTTGACTGTGAGGTGGGCAGTCATCAAAAACAGCCAACAAAGCATTGGGATCTGGGATACAAAAACTAAAAAGCTTATTAAAGCTTATAACTTCAATCTAGGCAAAGCTTCTAACTCTAGGCAAGGCACCACAGAGTTTGCACCTGCAGGGGGCATCCCCAAGGTACATTCCTAGAAATGTATGCACCAGATTTTGTCAAGCTTGTGCTTTAAACTGCAGCTTGCTTGAAGAGTTTTTGAGAAGTTGGAACCTCAGTGTACCTACCTCTTTCTCCAGCAACTACAAAGCTATATGGGTCCATTAAGTACTAATATCTTTCTGCTTCCAAAAATTCCCATAAGAAAGCACTCACTTTTCATGTTACAACATTATCTATTTACTGCAATTCCAGAGAAGAAAACCAATCACATTACCAGTTCCCTACCTTTCTGGTTAACTTCTCTAAATTTATTAACAAGTTATATTGATAACAACAAGGAGAGATCATCATATTCCTCGTGTAAAGTTACACATTTCCACACCAAAAAAAAAATTAATTCAAAATTCAGAACAAAAGCAGTTAGTTCTTGCAATCTGTTTCTTTTCTATTGTTTCTGAGCAAGCAACCTTTGTGCATTTTATGTCTAATACTTTCATTTTGCAACATGCTGTCCAATCGATTTTAAGTATTCGGCTTTAGAATCCATCTTTATGCACTTGATCCGTATTCCCTTAATATTGAGAATAATCAATAAGCTGAACTCTTTACAACGTAATATTAAGTACACGATTCTTAAGGTTCGAGTACAAAGCATACAGATCGCTGCAGAAGATAAACTTTGACGGGTCAACGAGAGACAGAGAGAGGGGAGAGAGCTTACGGAGTGAATTCCGGAGGCACGGAGGGAGGCGACGGCGGCAGAAGCGGAGGCGCCGACGAAGAGAGAGGCGACCGCAAAGGCTTTGAACGGCATGAAACGAGAGTCGCCGGAATAGCCTTTCCGATAGGAATTCATGCCCAGCGCCAGCTGGGCGGTGCTGGCGACGGCCCACCACCAGTGCCCTCCCAGTCCCCCACTTGCTCCTATTTCGTCCATGCCCTCAATCGCTCCGTTCCTCGGTCCACTTCTCCTCTCTGGTTTTTTATTTTATTCTTCTGCTCTTTCCGGTTATTTTTCCAAATATCACTCAATCCCCCAAAAAAAAAAAAAAAATTAAATCTTCATATCATATCATGTGCAAACACATAAACAAGTATAAATAACGTCATTTCAGTATAAATAATAATAATTAATACTTAAAATAGAAGAATATCCATCAATCTCTGCACTTAAAATGATATATGTATCTTTTAAAAATAAAATTTTTGATAAATATTTTATTTAAATTTAACTGACACAAGTCTTATAAATTTAATATTTATAAAATATATATTATTTTATATATTTGTAAACAATATAATACTAAATTTTAATTTTTGAAAAGATTAAATGTTATTTATCCTTTTTTTAATAATTCAGATCTTTCCTGTTCATCCTTAGGTTGGATTTGGATTCCCCTATTTCAAAAGTAAATCAGACAAAAATTAAGCTAATTCAAAAAATTATAAAAAAATTTGAAATATTTATTTTAAATTAATTAAATTAAAAAATAGAAAATTTCTGAAATAAAGAGCTCCTGATCCCATCTCTTCTGTACTACAAATCTCAATCGTCCATTAGAGAAAATAAAGAAAATAGCAAAAATTATTTTAATTTTTAAATTTATTCTTTGTCATATTTACTTCATTTAAACTACCTACTTAAACTAATGGTTATATTTACCTCCGAAACTATCAAGTCTTAGATAATGAATTTTTTAAATATTAATATCAGAATAGTTAATTATTAAAGTTTTAAAACTTTAAATTAATGTATCATAATTGATAATAAATATTATTAAATTTATTTAATATTTAAATATTAAATTAAAACACGATTAAATTTTAAAAATTAATTCAAATTATTTATGCAAGCCAACTAAGTAAAAGGTTGCATTTAGTTTTGCAAATTACTTTAGATTATTTTATAAAAATGATCTTTGCTCTTAGTTATTTGATATCCTTATGTAATAAATAGAAAATGCAAATTTGGATGACTGGGTTTGATAGTTAGATTTCAAATTACGGATTATGAATAATTTTTTTTATCAAATTCAAGTTATTTATTCTTAATTTGACAACCTTTTATTTAGTTAGATTATACATATAATTTAAATTAATTTTGTAAAATTTAATTGTATTTTAATTTAATATTTAAAATTAAATATATTTAATAATATTTATTATCAATTATAATGTATTAACTTAAATGTTTAATTTTAATAATTAACTATTCTAATAATAATATTTAAAAAAATATTTTTAAAATTATAGATTTATAAAATAAATATAATAATTAGTTTAACGATATTAAATTTAAGGGATAAATGATACAATAAATAAGAGGTAAATAAATTCAGAAGAAAGTTTAAATAAATAAAATGATTAATAGAAGAAATGGTCTGCATAAAACAAAATTTATTTACGTAGCCCTTTGTAAAAACAATTATGTACAAACCTCATGTGACGGTGTAATATATCACAAAAAACAAATAAAAATAATTTTACAAATTCTCATATTAAAAAAAAATAGGTTTGCAACTAAGTACCTCCAATTGCATAAAAATCAGTAAATATAAAATTATGATGGTTTTCTTATTGACTTAAATAATAATTCCTTACCAAATCATACTGAAGGGATAGATTTGTCACCGAGAAGGATAGAAAAGTAATTTCATTGCAAATACGTTAAACGTTAATCGAAATCCTAGTAGGAAGAATGTTGCAGCTGTATTGGTCCTATTGGAAGGCCGTGTTGTTTCGGTCAATTCAAAATAATCTAGTTCTAATGCCCCGCCCAATAAGCAAATGATTCTAAGCCCATGGTTCAAACTTTTATTTTTTTGTTTTTGTTTTCTGGGAAGATGCACTTGCCCTTTCCTTCATCTTTTCTTCTTTGCTTATCATAAACTCACGATGTAACACGTTTTCTGTTTTCTGTCTATAGGAAAAACACGAACACCTTCCTGACGCCGCGGTGAAGCTGTTTGTTTTTAGCCACCTCCCTCCACTTGTTACCCAAACAAGTGAAAACGAAAGCGCCGTCTTTTCTAAGTTTTTCACAATGGTGAGCCTTGCTTTGCTTTTGAAACATTTCTCAAGCAACCCGAACAACGTAAGCAACACGGAACACCCCAACCACTTCCGTGATTTTCACTCATAAGATGCACCTGGACTTTGAATATCAAATGCCACCTGTTTTTGAAAACAGTTTTTTTGTTTTGCAAACAGATAACCTGTTTGGCAGTTTGTTGTAAAAACTGTTACTGGAAAAAAAAAAATGCATTTCTAGAATACAACATTTAATTTTCAAAGTTCTCAGAAAACTCTCGCTTAAAATAAAAGATTTTTCAAGATTTTAGTATTTTCTGGTAAAAAAAAATCAGAAAATAGAAATACAAAACCAAATACCCCCTCGCAAACACAAGGAGAAATTGACACAATAGTTTAAATTTCAAGCAAAGAGACAGGCTTCCCTTAAAATATAGAACAAGCACCTTCATTTCAACACTTCTAATTTGCACATCATTCTCCACCAAGCATTAACATTGTTACATTGACCAAGCAACAGGACCAGTATTAGGACGGGTCCCCTCACAAGTCAATTCGCACGTCTACTATATCAAAGCTCATCAATACTCCATGCCGAAAACAGTAATAATCACAATATTTGCATCATACTGTGCCAACTCACAACTCCGACCAAGTACTCCCCAATAAACTTTCTGAAGTACCAGCCATGAAGAAGAATCTGTCGTTATGTCATCCTAATTTTGCAATCAAATAATGAAAAGCACAAGGTTGAATAAACTGAAATTTAGTAATGCATTCCTCCTTCAACAGTCTTCACATTTGTTAATGGGATCTCACTAACCACCACAAAGACAAGAGATCTACTTTTCATGTAGAATTCCTCTCAAAGTCTCTTTTGACAAAAAAAAAAAAAAAAAATTCCCCCCTCCCCCCTCTCTCGAGCATTAATAATCCCCAACAACTATAGGCCTGTACAATCCAGCAGAAGCACAATACTACTCAACGTACTCCTTTATTCACCCAATTTCTGAACAATAAAACTTCGTTTTTTTTGTTTCTTTTGATGATTTTCCTAATATCCAATGCTTCAAACCTAGCATTCTGTGTGACCTAAGAAAACCACAGTATTGATCAACATCCTCCTCTTTGCACTGCATGTGTTTGGTTCGTTCTGTATCATCCTCTATTTCGCAATCTATCTCACAATAAAGAGGAACAAATGACTAAGATATTGAAAGTGCAAAGGACAATGGGATAGCGCTGGATTGGCAATAAAAGAGACTGGATTACTATGATATACCAATGCCCAAAAATAACTTACTGACACAAGACCAAGCCAACAAAGAAGCCTAGTTAATATCTGCCAACTTCACCTTTCAACAAGACAATCTGCAAATCTATCTAAACCAATGGAAGACTTTCAGTTTAACTTGGCCCCATAATCCAAAGAATCCACTAACTGAATAAATAAAGTCAAAAATTCAACCAAACTCAAATATCAATATTGATCAATGTTAAATACTAAGGGAAATTCCTTCTCCACATCTTAAAGAGACAGACTAATACCAAGTCTTTACTTTTTCTCAAGTCCTAAAAGCTCCACTACAATGACAATTCCAAAGAATGAGTCTCAGAAAGTGGGTAGCCATGGTGATCAGGACCTTCCAGGTTAGGCATCCTTTGCTCGAACGAAAGAGGGGTCTTTGCAAATCGATTGAATCATCCCTGGCCTTCTACTCGATATAGTGATCGAATCCGACGCTGTACCGTTAACTGAATTTCGCTAATCAACCAGCCAAGTACTTCACAAAAAGAGTGGAAGGCCCTTTTTCCATAGGTTCACCCTAAATTCACCAATAGACTGTACCCCTGCTCATGCAAGAGCTACTCCACTAACTCCACTCTCCCCTTACACAGAATCTCAAACAGCATCTATGGTATCACTCAACGTGGGATAATAATTGGAAATTGAAGCCATGAATTGCTTTATACACACATAAACAGCTACAAACTCAATGACCCACCTATTTTAGAAACTCAGCAAAACACATAGTTAAATCCTATCTATCACGATTTCAAGGTTGTAACCATTAAAAACATAATGGCATTCAAAAATATGTTACGGAAATTATATGAATTTCCCTGTGGTTTTAAGCCAATACTGCCTAAAAGTATTTGTATAGCAAAACAAAAAAATCCACAAGAATAAGGTAATCAGAAAACCAAGGCCAACATATTTGGTATAGTAATAACCCAAATAATGAAGTACTATTGACATCTAAAGCATGCTATGTAGTATGGAATGATACAAGTCGATTTAATGAAGTATTTTAGCATCCCTTACTGAAAGAAAAAAAAAATGAGAAAAAAAGGAAAATTCAACAGATATACACTGTTCTCGGGCTAGAGTACAATAGCACAAGAAGATTGTAAAGAAAAAAGGGTAAATGGAACCCATATGATGTCTAGATCTTTTAATGCTTTGAGAAAACCAGTAAAAAATATTTAGCAAAACAACTTGTAATGGCTCTTATTTATATATTTTAACTGACAAACACTTATTGCACTGGGACCTCCAAATCCTAATATGCAATGGCTGTTATATTATATGTCAACTCTAAGACCATTAAGTTGTATTGCACAAAGACGTTTTCTCTTTAAGCCCCATACTACTGTAACTCCCAGAAATTCCACCAAACTGAAAGTGCTCTTCATTCATTCCAAAACTAGTATCTCAGATTCCAAAAGCTTAAATTTAACATTTATTTTGGGGTGGGGTTGGAGGGGAGGGGGGGGGGAAAGTTCCTTAATGCTAAAATATATATATAAAATACAACAGCCATTAAATAATGAGAATGCAAGATCAACGAAGTGGTTAAATTGCATGAAGAAATTTTTATTTAAGACCTGAAATTTTTCCAATCA